GCGATATCTAGATATGTATGTACGTACATAAATAAAAAATAAAGAGTAAGTGCGGGTATTTGCCAAATCTTTGCTTCGTCTGCACATATTTTACTTTAAGAAAAAACGTCCACTTGGCTTTTCGAGCACCATTTCCAGTCCTTTGTTTACGCCAAAACGACTAAAAGTATTATTTTTACACACGCACTTTGTTTTCGGTAGGTTTACTCCTTTTAAATCTTATTTGGTGGTCAAGGGCGATTATACTTCAATGAAGAATATACCTTTAATAGTAAGTAACGTTGAGCGAAGACTATGAAATATTTGATGTAGGAACTAAAGCGTTAATTATATTTCTTACATTCATACTAAAGTCGTTTTGGTCTATACTTTCCAATACTTTCGTTTCAGTAGAACCGACCTGTGGTAGGGCCAAGAACATTCAGCAGAGCACATTATACTAAAGCCCACCACCAAGTCCGACGAAACAATCGTCGCTTAGACACCTCACCGATTAGGAAGGAATAGGAGGGCTTGGTGATGATGAAAGCGTTTCAAATGGATGAAAAGAACTAAAACGCCAGAAGTCTTGACTAGGAGGCTGAACTCGACTCTTTGCTATAATAGTAAAATTGCTGAATATCATAGGCATCATAGGCCATATCCGGGCTGGAAAAAGTAGTGTTACAAGTAAGCCCTCGATGTGTTTAATGAGAAGTAAAATTTTAGCAGGTAGTCGAAAAAAATGCCCTTAGACCCTCCTTCTCACTTCTTCTGCGAGTGTTTTTTTTTGATCTCGAACGGAAAGGGCCAGACAGACCGAGAGCTACATATTAACTCCTAAGGCTTCCTTTATACGGGTCGCTTTGTGTCGACAGAAAAATCGACTAGCCAAAGAGCTTACATTTTTTACAGTTGAATTTATTTAAAGGGGTCCGTTTTGGTTGAACGACAACGATCGACTAGAAAATCGACCCGTGTCAACGCAGCTTAAGTGTAAAATAGGTTTAATTTTCACTTTGTGTGGCGGAACTCGGTAGCGATAACACACTCTTTCACCGATGCTAATCAAACTAATTGTCGTAAGTGTAGATTTTCACGCAGCAGCTTTATTTTCCCTCCAAATGCCAAAAGATTCTTTAACAGCAGAATTACACAAGAAAATTTGAATAAAGTAGAAAATAAATTCAGTACCTCGCTTATTCGCCTTACGAAAATCACCTACGGAAACATTTTGTCTTTGCCCAAAAATAGACTTTGAGTGTCATTTACTTAGGTGGGTATGTATTTCCACACATCTACACATAGTATGTAGATATACATTCAAATAGCCATGGCATAACCATTTTAAGCAGGTGTGAAGTCCCTTTATGCTTTAAAGCGGCATTTTAAGAGCATTGGCTTAAGGAACAAATTTGGACGCACATGAATATGGAAACCATTGCAGCCACAGACCTTTTGCGTGCTCAAGGATGGAAGCAGTGTTGGCACCTGACCGCGTATTTATCTTTGTGCTACAAACGAATGAACACGCCAAATATTTTATGCTGCACTCTTTCACTTTTTTCGCACCCATTATCTACAATGAAAATGTAACTGTATGTACATATATGCATATGTATGTGGCATCACTCGCCGACACTGAAATTAATGCATATTTCATACACCGCCTAGCGACAATAAACAAAAACAAACGGTGGCAACAACAAAACAGTGATGGCGTTGCAATAGCGGCACAGCTGCTGACGCACACCAACAAAAGCGGCTGCAGCATCAACAATTAACAACTCAGTGCTGCCGCCCACGTTGCCACCGCTGCGGTGCTGGTGCTGGTTAGGGGTTTAACGCCCGCACGAAGGAATTATCGCAATAGTGGCGTACAAAAGGGGTGAGCCGAGACGCATTGGGTGCACAATTGCGCTGACAACATTGCGCGACGGCCACCAGAGGATCAAGGTGTTATTCAAACGAAAAAATGAGAATAAACAAAAACAATAATACGAAATCGCGCACAATAAAATAAGTGAGCGGTGAAAAAATTTTGCGCTAAAAGCGAACTGGTGAATAACTACCGAAAAAATAATGGCTGACTGGCTGGAAAGATACATACATATGTACAATGTACATACATGCTGTAGGTGTCGTAGGAAGTGCGGTGGCTCCGATGTATTGAAAGTGGAGCGCTTGGCGTAGGTGTCGGTGTCGGTGTCGATGTGGGTATTTTGGTGAAAAGGAGTGTTGATAAATATTCAAGTGCAGCGCTGCTGTGCAGTGGCAAGCACTAGACATGAGTCTCAATGTTGGAAATGCCATACAAATAAACGCTCATTTCTACGAGCACTGATAGCAACAACAATGGTGCGCGCAGACAGGTAACAATGCACTACAATAGATGTATTTACATACATACATATGTATGAAGCGTTGGCATGTTATGGAGCATCTGCGTTTGGGAAGTGTTTGCATTGTAAACAACATCCGCTATGTGTGAAAGTGGAATTAAAAATAGGAGTTAAGCATTTAAATAAATGAAAATGAAGCACCAAACAGTGGGTATGATGAACGTTAACAATAGCCAAAAAAAGGAAAAGAAAAATGGCGTTAGCATGAGGGGAAAGGAGCAACCACGGACGATATATTGTGGATATAAAATAATTGCCGAATAAATGAAAAAATAATACAAATAAAAGTTTAAATAAATACATTCAATAAAAAAATAAACAAATAAAATTAAATAAAATAAAATACAATAAAAAAAAATCAAAAATAAAATAAAATAAAATAAAATAAAATAAAATAAAATAAAATAAAATAAAATAAAATAAAATAAAATAAAATAAAATAAAATAAAATAAAATAAACAAAATAATAAAAAATATAATGAAAAATTAAAAAATAAATAAAATTAAATTAAATTTAGAAAAATACTTAAAATAAAATATATTAAAACCAAATCAAAAAGTTATTAATTGAAATAAAAACTATAAATATTTATAAAATAATCGAAGAAATGAAATAAAATAAAGATAACTAAAAATAAAATGAAATACAATAATCAAAAAATATAAAAAATAGAATGAAAAAAAAATAAAAAACGAAAAAATACCAGAAATATAATAACATAAAAAATTTTAAGAAGATAAAATAGGAAAAATTAAAAAGAAATGAAGTAAAATAAAAAGAACTAAGAATAAATTGAATTAAAATAAAAAGTAATTACATACTTACATAAAAAAATTAATCAAAAGTAAAGAATAATAAACAGGAATTATATTAAATCAAATGACAACATACATATAAAGATCCTGTCAACATCCGTCTGTTATTAAACTGCCGTTAAATTTTCAGTGAGTTGCATAATTTGATTTGACAGCCATTGAATGCAGTCAACTTCGGACAATGTTTGAATGTATGCAGACGTGTGTTAGGTTTGGTTAGGATTAAGTGGCAGACCCGCGAACGGGACTCACTTAGGCATTTAATTGTGCATTGTGATACCACATTACATAAAAATTAATTTTAACGGGAACTGTGTAAAATTACGAGAAGCGCTGTGTGCTCACTACAAATTTCCGCAAACAACTGAGGTCCATTCCGGTGAGTTCCTCGGGACGGGCAGTTGAGTAGGAAGTGCTAGTATGATTCCATCTCGTCATCGAGGCAACTGCGGCAGTAGGGATCCATGACGATCTTGAGTCGCGCCGCGTGGGCTCCCATAGGACAATGTCCGGTCAGTACAGCTGGGAGAATCGAGAGCTGGCGCTTAGCCAGCACTTTTGGGGAGAGGCCCCATCTCTTCTTGCAGCAGTAGAGAGATGCCCTATTTACTTGTTCCTCAATATTTGGTTTCCATGTCAACTTCCCGTCCAGGATCGCGCCCAAGAAATTGACCATGTCAGAGAGAACAAGTGGAACACCCCCTATTGAGGTGAGCTGGGCATGAGGCTTTTTGTACCTCCTGGTAAAAATAACGAGCTCCGTCTTTCCAAGATTGACAGCAAGTCCGCAGATAGCGGACCAATTTGTGACCATGTTTAGGTGCCCTTGCATAAAATCGTACAGAGTGTCCAAGAACTTTGCTCTGCCGATGAGTGCCACGTTATCCGCGTAAGCAATAATCCAGCATCCTCTCCTTTCCAACTCCCCCAGGACGTCGTTAATCACGACTATCCAGAGAAAGGGTGCAACTCCTCTCCGCCTCCCTGCGGGGTGCATCTGCTCAATTTAAGCTGCTCAGAGGCGTTGCCCCATACCGCTGTGACATTTCTGTCGTGCAGCATATGTGAGATGAGCCTTACTAAGTAGCTCTCGACTCCGACCTAAGTAGGGGCTCTTATTATCGCCCCAGGTATTTAGGATATTATTTAAAGCCCTCTCGATATAAGAGACTCTTCTATGACTTTGACAACTGAGTCAAATTTTAACTTCGGCCAAACATTTTCAATACAAGGAGGAGCTACCTCGATAACAGAGTCCTATAATACGTTACAGAAGCTGGATTAAAAAAAGAATGAGACAACTATGGGAGTACAGCAGCTCTAAGTGCTTTTTAGTTCTAATTTTATAGAACATAATGTATGATACAGTGTTTCGACTCCCGTTACTGGCAGGATTAGACATCGCAAATGGCATCGCGCTAGTAGCCTTAGTATAACACAACCCTACAACAAATGGGACTAATCCGGGATGTCTCCGGGAGCAATCGCAAGGGAACATAACACTTTTGATCTCTTTTTATGGAATGAACTGATCGAAGAGCTGCGTGCTTAAACCACCTTCTGACGAAATATTTGACGGGCAGTACCGGGGGGGAACGCTACATGGCGGCAGGAGGTTAACTTAGCTTAAAACTACACTTGCTACGCCTATTTTTCGTAAAAAAAAAACTATTGTGGTGGCCACATATGTAGATCCCATACTATGTTGGAAGTACTGCACCGATCGAACTCCAAGTAGCACCATGAGTTCGTATGTATATGTACACATGTATATTGTACATACTTTTGGTTATAATCACTTACCTCACTGCTTTCAAATCGCCGCTAATGGATGAATTTGGCGATGGTTTGGAACTAAGATCTAATGGTTGTTCACCGGTGGCATCACTGGGACTGGGTGAATCCTTGAGTGGCGGACTTACAGCGGCGGCCGATGTCTCTGAGGTAGTTGGTGTCGCCGAATTTGTCTGTTGTTGTTGTTGCTGTTGTTGTTGCTGTTGCTGCGGCTGCTGCTGCGGCTGTTGTTGTTGCGTTGGTTGTTGGATTGGCGCTTGATGTTGCTGCTGTTGTTGTTGCTGTTGCTGCTGCTGCTGTTGCATCAATTGTAGCCAATTGAAATCTGTGCGAAGAGGCAAGGGAAACATAGAAAAGAGAAGTTATTACACACAAATTTTTTTTTGACGGAACATACATACATATTTACGTAAGCTGCATTGACACTTACTTGGATAACCAGATATGACTGCTAATTGCGCGGCCATTGAGTCCATTGAAGTCATGTTCGCGGGCAAATCTACCAAACGTGTCGTCAACAGCTTATTCCAGTCAATGCGATTATTATTGTTGTTGTTGCTGTTATTATTATTGTTAGTATTGGTGTTGTTGATGTTATGCATTAATGGGTTAACCACAGCCGCTGTTGTTGTACTGTTCGCCAAATTCACATGCGATGATTCATTTGAATCGCTATCGGTCTCGAGCTGCTTTATTTGTTGATTTATTTTTTGAAATTGAATGAAAAACATTAAAAAAAAAATTTATAAGGAAGGGGAATTAAAATGAAAAAAAATAAATAAATTATTATTAAGAAACACATAAACGCTTATGTATTTTTTTTTGTTTGACTAATTCTAAATTATCTGCACTTTATTTTCGCTAAGAAATGCTGGATACCACGTTAAGCGGCAAGAAATCCAGGTACCAGATGGAGCCACGCTTTAGCGTGAAGGCTGTTAGTGTGTCTAATGATGAATTGTAGTTCACAGGGATGGGTTAGCAAGACAGTTGAAAAGATACTGGTGGAGACACCGCCTAAGCCCAGCCAAACCCAAGCAGTGGTATAGAACATCCATTGGGCAATGCAATAGTATTATTACTATTAAATATAAATAAATTCGTTCGGCAGCCTACCTTTAATTGCCGGCTCAAGGAAATCTCTGGTATCAACGCTACGTGAGATGAGTTTGCATCGACGAGCACTCATCTCACCTTGAAAGTTCGGCCGAGCTCAGAGGTAGCCAAGATACATGTCTTTATGAAACGGAAATCAAATTGCGTTCGCTGTGTATTTAGTTGCCAGTTTCGTCGTTTATTTTGTTTAAATACGGTTCGCAGTGTAACAAAAACTAAACCAAAAAAGGCTCTAAACTTTGTACAAAATTTAGAAAAACATCAAGCTTCAAACTTTTTAATAAAATAATTTCGAAAACTTCGGGTGTTTAGTTGCCCTAAATTTTCGTTGACTTTTCAAAATTTTAAGATTTTGATTAAAAATTGAAAATTTTTACGAAAATTTCATGTTTTTTTGCTAAATTTTGTACAAAGTTTGAAATTCTCATTTATGTATATAATTTTTGTTACAGTGTGAACTATATAAAAATTTCTATTTTTTGTATTAGTTTACAAAATTCTACCTGATTTTTCTTTTTAGTGTAGCTACTGACTGAAAAACTAGTACTCGCAGTCGGAACTAGAAATTCGGCCGAATTTAGGAGTGGCTAAAGTGCGGTACTTTATTCAGAGCATTTAGTGGGTCTGCATAATTATTCGCCTCTTGTTTACCATAATAATAACAAATCATTGATCTGTTTTTTTCCCCTTTGTAGCCTATGGACTTCACAGATACCCTAAACTTCAGCTAAGGAATAGGCATACACATCAGGAGGCTGAGTGCTACCAAGCTCTTTCAGAATATAGCTCCTTTCTATTCACCGAAGACACAGATGGCTTCCATCTCCAGTAAAAAATACCATTTCGGTCTTCGCTAAATTTTGACTCAACTTTACATATGCTACAAATAAAAAATATAGGAATTCCTTTGATTTTGACAGAACTAACCTTCTGACCGCGCTCCACTGGATCGCCACCGGCGGCGGACACAAATGGGCCCGCCGACTCGGCAACTAATTCGCCCTTCGCGTTCACGGTGAGTAATCTGCCGTCCACGCAAAAATAACACTTCTCATTCGGTTTCCAATCGACCGGCTCGACGATGGGCGCACTGGACACCACGACACGCCCCTTTTTAGCTAGCGCAGGTGGTTGCGTTGACGGTGGTGATGCGGTAGTCGTCGGTACAACAGACAAGCTTTTCGTCTCGCTGGCGTTAACACTTGTTGTGATGTTTACTGTTGGCGTAATTGAGTGTGATGGATTTGTTGCTCTTGTTGTAAATGCTGTTGATGTGTTGTTGTTGGCGCAAATTTTGTTGTTATTTAATGCTAAAGTACTATTACTATTATTGTGGTGAAGTTGGTTGTGATTATGTGATGTTGTAGTGTTGTCTAAAGAAAAGAGGGCAAAATGTAATGAAGCTTAAAAAGGTTTCTACTTAAAAGTTATACCACTTGTTTTGCAGTAAAAACAAAAAAAAAAACAGCAGCCCGATAACTAAGCTAGCTAAGCTCAATGGTGAGAGCGGTATAGTGATCGGGTTCTGATACTAAAACTTTATGCACGAGAAATACATATAAGAAAGAGGCTTGGGATCAACTTAATCCATACCGATCTGCACGTAGTCACATCCCTATAGGGTAATGGATTCTCTCACCTGCAATAAGTTGCAGCTGCTTGTTCTCCTCAGCCGCACAATCGGTCTGGCAGTCGTTTGTGTTCTCTTTGTTTTGTTGCTGTTCAACGTTCGCTGCGCCTTCGATTGCACGCTCGTTGCTGTTGTTGTCCGCTGCAGTGCCGTTTCTCTTGCCGTACGGTGACGCCGCTGCCGCCTTCACGCTGTTGGCGTCCGCAAGATCGCTGATCAATTTTTGTTGCTGCGGATGTGGAATTTTCTCTCCCTCTGTACGCTGATCGTTGTGGTGGTTGTGCTGCGCGTTTAGCGTTGATCCGTCCTCTGTGTATGTCTGCTGTTCTATCGAGATTTGTGAGGCTGCTGCTCCTGCTGCTGCTGCTGGTCTGCCTGAGGTCGCTGTTGTATTGGCGGCAGCTGTAGCTGCTGCTGCTGTTGCTGGTGGTAATTCTGCTGTTGCTGCTGTTTCGGCAGGCGTTTGTACAGTGTGATTTGTATGGTTGCGCGTAGTTAATGGCTCTTGGTATTGCTTCCATTTCATGCGTTCCATCAACTCCTCAGCGATCCGTTCTAAGCCTAAAAGTGAAAAATTAAAAAAAAAAAAAATGTATTGAATTGATTGTAATTTGCGGTATAAATACATCAAAAAGGTTGTAATTAAAAGTTGCGCGAAAATGACAGAAAAGGTAGAATAAAAATGAAGGCACCTATTATCTGCTGAACGATTGATGTTATCGGCATGGCTGGCGAAATACATACATACATCCATACAGTTATATATATATACTTGTTTAAATACGTATCAGTTTCTAGTACTTATCCCAGCAGTTTTTGAAATCCCCAAATGCCACATATGTACATTTGTATTTAGGGAGTTCACGAGGCTGTTTTTTACTGTCGTATTGTTGTATGTCGTAAACTTTAAGTGCTTCAATAATGTGTTTAGCGGACTTGAAACCACAAGGCTACCTTACGAACGGTCTTAGCGGTTTAAAGTTTACGACATACGTACAACTATACAACAGAATACAACACTTTGTGAACACCCTAATTGTCTGCGATTCGGATTGAATTTCCACATTAGCTACTATTTTGACAATACCGTGTTGCAACTTCTCTCACCCGGAGGTAGTGCGATAAACTGGCACTTTGAGGTTCACGAAAGTGAATCTATGAAAACATCTCTCTTCTTTTTGAATAATGAAAATTATTCCATTACAAAGGTACTGATTTTGACGCTATGAATTGCCATGTGAGAGAAGTTGCAAGAAGTTTGGAAGTGAAAGGAGTTCATGACAAAAAGGCCTTAAGGGACGTACGAAATATTTAATATAGAAAATTAGGTTTATCATCATTAAATGTTTAAATCAGGGACATAAAATAACAGTTATTTTTTTAGCAGTTAAACTTGGCCAAATATTTTTGAAGTCCGAAATAAAAGTCCTTTCGCTACAATAAACAAACCGCTTATCCAAACTAAACAAGTTTGGTATCAAATGTGATAGGACTAAATAAAATAAATTTCAAACTGAAAAATATAAATGTGGAAAGCCGCCTATTGAAAAATATTTCTATAAAAATGTTATTTAATTACCATAAAGCAATCCTTGCCACCAGAAATTGTTTGTTGCCGGCAATAAGAAAACGTGTCGCCCTCGGCAACAAATTTATTGCCGGTAATATCGCCTTCGTATCGATTTCTTATTACCAGTCGCTCTAAAATGTCTGCCGACGGCAACTCGACCGATTGAGCCGTTTTCTTATTACCTGAATGAGCTCGTTTCGTATCACTTTATTATTGCTACAGGCAATATTTGGAAACATTTTATTCTTTTTAATATTTCATTTATTTTTGAATACAAAATTTGTTGCCATTGACAATTGTTTCCTATTTCTCATGTTTTGCTTGGTGGGTTGGGTCAGGTATGTGAATTTCTTTTGTATTAAATTATAAAAAAAGAAAAATATAAATAAGGGTGGTAGCCTTCTATTGAAATTCACTCGGAAGTGAATTGCAGAACCTGTCTGAATATGTTAATTTTTCAGTGACGCTCTTTCCCGCTGGTAGTCTTGGCACAAAGTCATTATCACATCTCTGTGGAACGAAATGAACCGCTTTGCGCTTGAAGAACGCTGGGAAATAATGTAAACTAAACGGGTAAAGCTTTTTTGCATTTGGCGATCGCAAAATCCCAACGGGATCATCGAAAAGCCAATGCATCTTTAGAGAGTGACAGTTTGCTGCGGATTTGGAGCGGTGGTCTCACTAACCCATTTTCTCTGAAAATGCTGTTGGAAACACCATTTCGGTCAACGGTGAGCGCTACAGAGGCATGATAAACGATTTTTCGTGGTCGAAAATTAAAGACATGGACTTGGACGGTCTTTGGATTCAGCAGGAAGGCGCGCCATTCCACTTGCATACGAAGTGGCCTAGTAAAACTGAGTATGACGCATTGTTCGTAGGGCTAACAGCTATCATCCTGATATATGCGCACTATAGGTGTTTTTGTTTAAAGATCACTTTTGCTCCAAAGTGTAATATACCGAAAAATAAATTTTTGCAAAATTTTTGAACTTAAAAAAAAACATTATATTGAGCGCCCTGTATGTACCTACATACGTGACAGTCTTGTTTATTTAACAGATGCGATTTCTTAACAGCAACAGTTGCAGAAGGAAGTATTCGTAATTTAGTTTTTCAGCAATATTCAAAATCTTTTCTATCATGAACATTTTTCGTTATTTTTTTTTTTTTTAATATAGCTCATTTTATTAAAAAACCACATAAATACATTTCGCAAACTTGTACAAAATTTACAAAAAGTAATCACACTTCAAAAAATTATTATTAAAATTTCAAACTTCTTAATAAAAATTTTTCGATCAGACTACAATTTATTTGCTTAATAACTTAGTACCAGTTTGGCCGAGCTTTGCTCGAAGTGCATATATTTTTTAAAGTTTTCAAGGTTTGGCCATCGAGTAAGGGTTAGTTAGATACCTTTAAAAAAATAGTTTGGAAAAAGTAAAAATTTGGCTTTTGATTTTTATTAATTTCAAGAAAAAATTAGTCAACGAAAACCAATTGTCTTACAGACTAATACAGACATTTTAACAAAAAATAATAATCTTAATGAATACGAAAACTGTAATGGGAAATTATTAAAGACATAATGTCCCATAAAAGAAGTAAAATTCTTACTTTAAAAATTAGGTGACAACCCTAATTTGGAAATATGCTGGGATGAAGAGTACATTTATTGAGCATATACAAAAACATGCTTATTGAAATTAACAAAATATATTTTTGTATTAAAAGTACATGCAATTCTCATCGAAAATATTTCCGGGATAATGTTCCAAAAAATACATTTCATTTTATACCCATATTGCATTGTTTTTGTGACAATAAGTGACAACCTTTATCTAATATCCTAAGAGATAACAATTATTATATAAGCAAATTCATGAATATTGTAATATGTACCTTTATTTTATAAACAGATAATTAAACAAATAGATGGCAGCCCTATTCACAAATATTTCTGGTTTGGGGATTTTTAAAATACGTTTAATTTGATACCCATATTATGACGTTTTATTTAATTTTAACTGACGTGTCCTATCATGTTTCCCAACTCACTTGAAAATGTATTGAAATTGTGCTGTGGTAGAGCGTTTCTGAATCGGCATCTCAGATAGGACGTTTTTGAACTGAATTCTGAAATAGGGCGTTCTTGAAAAGTTTTTTGTAGATAGGGTGTTTCCACTCAGCAGTCGATTGCCTTGCTTGCATGCAATCGAGCGCCAATTTGTATATTCTCACTAGGCGTGTGACGTTTGCAATCTGTTTGCATTCAAAATAAAGTAATATTCGTAAAATAAAATACGCTAAAACATTGTGTCAAAGTAAAGTACGCACGCGTTTATATATTTACTTACACCCTTGCATAAAAAATTCAACAGTGAAATGCCCAACAATTAAATCGTCAAAAGTAACATAAATTTTCTCATTCGAACGCAGTACTTTACTTGCATGCAAATTAGAAAGGCTAGCGACAAAAAAAAAGTACGAAAAAGAAGAATATAACAGAACTTTCGTGTCGGTGTAGGCGGAAACCGTTGGCGGAGAGCTGCATGCAACGATTGCAAATTTTCGCAAAATTAATACAAATACAAATATATGTATTGGAAAGAGCAGCGCAAGTGCTTGCTGACTTTCGACCACGCCACGTCGAACAGTTTGACACGCCCCAATTGGTCGTCAATCGCTATGTTGCTTATATTCTACTAGATATGTTAATTAAGTATTACAGGGAGCGATGGGAGAACAGTGGCAGTTGGCATGTGTCATATGTATGTATGTATGTATGTACGCTTGCAGTAAAACTTAACAAAAGTCGACCATTTAGTAATGAAGTGGATTCAAAGTTTTGGTTAAAATTAAAAAAAAAAAACACACCGAATATGCAAATTTCAATGGAATTTTTATTTCATAATAGAGCCATTATATATATATAAGTACCAGGTTGACCGAGCTTTGCCCGGAGTGCATATACTTTTTAAAGTTTTCAAGATTTGGAAATAAACAAACAACAAAATTAAGATTTCAATATCTATTATGTTGGGGGTTACCAGTCTGGAATAAATAGTACATATCTGGAGCGTATATGTACTATGGATACATAAAAAAATTTTTGATTAAAATTAACAAAATACAAATTTGTATTACATAGAAGCGTGGCAACCCTGATGGAAAATATTTTCTGACCAACGTTCTCAACAATACCTTTCATTTGAAATCCATATTGCGATCTTTAGATAAATTGTGTAGAATCGAAAATAAGTGGCAACCTTACACTATTATCCTAAGAGATCACATTTTGTATATAGGGAAAGCATTGTTTAAGAACCTTCTCTTGATAACCATAAGAAGTAATAATTTACCTCGTTTTCTAAACAAAAAATTAAATAGAACTGTTATTCAAAATCGGTGGCAACCCTATTGAACACATTTTTGAATTCGGGATCTTTGAAATACCTTCCATTTGATACCCATATTATGATGTTTTAATTAATTTATAACTAATTTCGAAAAGGTGGCAACCGTATACGAGTCTTCTCGGAGTTAATGCCTATTCAGATAACCTGAAAACAAGTGTGCCTTGTACTATTCAAAAACAAACTTCCGAAAACTATTAAGAAANCTATTCAAAAACAAACTTCCGAAAACTATTAAGAAAATTTGCCTCAATAAATTTTTCTTAACCATTACTTGGCCTTTTTTTTCGTCGAACTAATGAAATGTTTAAAAATAATACCGCAGATTTGGTTTTTATTAACCCTTAACTTCAATTGTATTTCTAGTTGGATGCAAAAATTTAAAACCAATGGGTCGCCTCTACGGGAAGGTATTGATGTTATTGAAGAAATCAGAAATAATTTATCTCAAATGGAGAATAACGAATATTAAAAAAAAAATAAAATAAAATGACCAATGCAGATCTCTACCATCTGAGAATATCAAGCAACACATGGCTTTCTAAAAGAATGCTTAGCTCTACCAAAAAGAAACACATTTCACAAATTTGTTACTTTATAGCTTCGAAGTAAGATCGGTCCTAACAAAACTGCAAGGAGCCGCATCAAAGATACAGTGGACTCGCCGTTACTTCTAGGAATTATAAGATTGCTTCAAGTACTGGGCTGGATTCTAAATTGCAAGCAGTTATGAAAGCCAAAAAATCAGCTGCCTACTATTTCTAAAGTGGCTGGGCCAGAAACGGACAATCATTTGCTTTTTTTTAACCGACTTCAAAAAGGAAGAGGATTTTTTTTTCTTATGTGTGTTACCGTATAACCTTGGACCACGTTAACCGATTTCGATAATTCTGTTTTCGTCGGAATACTAATTTTGTTTAGATCCGAAAATTGGATCGGGAAGAAATTAACGATAATCTTAAATTTTTATATGAGAATTGAAGTCGGTTTTTTTTTTTTGCTTAAAAATTACTTGCTTGAAAATTTCAGACGATGCCCGATTGAGAAATTTCGTAAAACATCTTGAAAAGAGGGAGCTAAATTTACTATAAATTGAAGTGAAATGAAGGCTGCACAGCTCAAACTGTGGGATACCTTGAGCTTTCGCCAACGTATGAATTTAACATCTTCGCCCTCGTTTCCCAACCAGCACTGCAACTCAGCTTCATTGAGAATCTCATTCATAAGAATCATACATTCATAACGGACAAATT